TACCACCATGTAGATCTCTTCCAGAGATGTCTTGGGTTTTAGGAGTAGAACTCCTATTTACATTTTTATGCTGTTGTCTGTTAATTTTTTATATAGAATAGGTAGCACTACTTAGAGCTTGGTTATATATACTTCTATATACTCAGAAGTATAAATGGTAGAATAGACTATAATAAGTTAAAAGCTATAAAGACATTCATTTTGTTCCCCACAGAGTATTCATTAATTGTACTCTACATGGCTTTGTGTCTAACCCCTAATGTACCCTATGTATGGAAGGATACTGTAAACACTGTATTACTAGCTCATTAGTAGTATAGAGAAAGTTCAAGACCAAAAAGGGGGGCAGGAGTCAATTAGTTTTTCTTGTTCTTAAAGCCAGAATCATTTATTATGCTACTAAATTTCTGCCTGTGAAAACTCTGATACTTGAGTTAAAAAAAAAAAAACAGAGAAAATATAATTTGCTAGAGAAACTGATGTTCTTCCCAAATTTTACCTTAAGATCACAGATTTTCCTCTCTGTTTGTTTAGGAATAACAGCTAGAAAAGCAGTCTCTTCTTTACTTCCCAAGGAAGGGAACTAGAATAAAACATCAGTAAGTTATCGTTAGCTAGAATAGTTTCACAAGTGGTTCATGATTTTGATGGAAAAATAATTGCAAAACTGAAGTTTGCCCTGTAAAAACACACTTGCCATCTCTATCTTCCTTTTCTCTACACAAACATACAAATCATCTCTCCCTGGCAAAGGGGTACTCTAGTGGATAAGTAATTTGAAAACGTACCATATTAGAAAACTCTGATTCTAAATTTTTAATTAAATCTTTGAACACTAGAAAAAATTGCCGTGTACATAATAAATCTCCTGTCAAACCTAACACTATGGTAATGTAGATCATTTATTTTTAAATTAGTAAGAAATAAAAGGAAGAAAAATGGAAACAGTGTAACTGACTATTTGAAAAACGAATCATCTAGCAATCACAAAACGATATTGATAACAGTAACAACTCATTTTTAGTTCATCAAGCAATATACAAAATAACCAGAATTTTTCATAAGATTTGGATAGACACAGAAAATGAATTGAACTACAAAAATAATTGTTTAAATGTTTAACAAATATGGAGAAAAAACGCTTTCCTAACAGACCGAAGAGGTAGTCTATTCTTCAAATAATGGCCACTTTCCTTTAATAACACTTATATATAAACACAACTGCCAACCAAGTAGTTCTTAAAAATATTGAATCTATATTTTGGAATTAGAATTTTCTTTTCTTTTCTTTCTTTTTTTTTTTTTTTTTTTAGACACAGAGTCTTGCTCTGCCACCCAGGCTGGAGTGCAGTGGCGCAATCATTGCTCACTGTAGCCTTGACCTCTGGGCTCAAGTAATCCTCCTGCTTCAACCTCCTGAGTAACTGAGACTAAAGGCATGTGCCACCACACCAGCTAATTATTCTTATTTTCAAAATTTTTTTTAGAGATGGAGTCCCACTGTATTGCCCAGGCTGATCTCAAATTCCTCGCCTCAAATGATACTCCTGTCTTGGCCTCCTAAAGTGTTGGAAGTACAGATGTGAGCCACTGTGCCCAGCCAGAATTACAATTTTCTAATATACAGTTTTCAAAATTCTCTGTTGGAATAGTTCTTTTGCAATGTGTAGTTAATTACACTTTCAAAAATGAGGCGGAAGTGGCATTAAAAACAATCTATATTTTGGTGAGAGGTTGTTTCAGAGTATTGTAGTCAAAAAGAGCCATTATAGGCTGGGTGCAGCCTATAATCCCAGCACTTTGGGAAGCTGAGGTGGGAGGATCGCTTGAGGCCAGGAGTTTGAGACCAGCCTGAACAATACAGTCAGACTCCATCTCTTCAAATAATTATCCAGGCATGGTACTGTACACCTGTGGTTCCAGTTACTTGGGAGGCTGAAGGAGGAGGATGCCTTGAGTGCAGGAGGCCAAGGCTGCAGTGAGCTGTGATTGTGTCACTGCACTCTAGTCTGGGTGACAGAATAAGAACCTGTCTGAAAAAAGAGAAAAAAAAGAAACATTACAAAAATACAAATGTATTCCTATTTTCAAGCTAAAAGCAGATTTAAATAATTTTTATTCCAAAAGGTTAAGACCTTTTCATTACTGTGGAATGACAGCATATTTTTGTTGTCTTGTTAATAAGAGGAAGATTACACTATGTCTCATGATGTTGCCCAGGCTGGACTGTAAGTCCTCAGCTCAAACAATCCTCCTGCCTCAGCCTCCTGAGTAGCTGGGATTACAGACACGGGCCACTGTTCCCACCTTCAACAGACTTTTAAAAAATGTGTGATATTTAAGTGGCAACTCATTTTAAGGGAAAAAATAGTGATAGTGTTTATCTGTAGTTTGTGCTTTGTGATACCTATCTTTTAAAAATTTTAAACCTGATTTCTTCAAGTGAAAAAAAGAATATGATCATTTGTAAGCTAAATTATGCAGTTGCTAATTATAATTTTATATGTATAATCTTGTTACGTAAAGATAAAAAATGGTAAGAAACCATAATACAGATATTTTTGTTTTATTTTGTTCTGTTTTAGGCAACAGAGCTATAGGGGCAATTGTCAATGACTCATGGGTTTGGTAATGTTGCAGATTTGCAAAATTAACTTCATGGTAAAGAAGTTGTTATTTAGGCTGAGCACAGTGGCTCACACTTGTAATCCCAGTACTTTGGGAGGCCAAGGTGGGCGGATCATGAGGTCAGGAGATCGACACCATCCTGGCCAACATGGTGAAACCCCGTCTCTACTAAAAATACAAAAATTAGCTGGGCATGGTGGC